TTTGGGTCTCTTTGAGTAATGCTCTTAACAGAGAACATGGGGAAAGATGAATCACAGGTAAGTAACTTACATTTGCTCATGAGGGGCAATACAAAAGGAACTGCACTTGAAAGAAGCAAGGAAAACTTTTATTTGGCTTCACAAAAAATAACTTGTATTTCAATCATTTTAACAAATTCATATTACTTAGCCTCAGTATTCTTCAAGAAATCTGTTTACAGCCTATCAAATCTTCATCTGCTCTGACAAATTTACTACAAAGCTATCCATTCTCTCAACAAAATCATCCAGAGAATGGATCGAGTCTTTGTCATTTTAATTCAAAATTGTACATAGGCCCATAAATCATGTAGTAGAGGATGAAAAGAAATTTATTTGGGCTATAAGTAAGATTAGCTCTTTCCTATAAGAAAGGAATTCTGCCTTTGTGAGAGGCAAGCATAAAAATTCTTCCATATCTAAATAAAAGTAAAAACTACATTATGGTCATAGTACAAAACATATTGAAATTTCAAACCTATCTCCCATAACATGATTCAATTCTTTCATTCAAAAGAAGCATCCTGTCATCTAACCCCAGATTTGAAATGTTCAGTAACTTCACTAATGTAAATATCAGAGTATTAAAACTCAAGACAGAGAAGAGGTTAGATGAGTGCAGAGAAGCAAAAGCTATAGTGCATTGGATTATTGATCTGCTCTCACATAAACAGCAATTGAGCCTTGGAGATCTCGGTCCACCTTGAAATGAGCATGGAAGAACCTATTTATCTTCAACCACCAAAAGAAAAATGAAACAGAAGACAACACATAAGCAAAATAAAGAGCAAACAGCCAAGTAAACATCTTATATTGAACCCAGATTGGTCTCTTTTCTATGAAACTAATGCAAAAATAACTATTATTTGGGCAGGGGCAAAGATCAATAACTTGATCTCATCCAGTAGCTCAAAGGTGTTGCAGTGCAAGATGGTACTGCTGTCAAGGAGGAGATCTCAAAAGATTAGTATCATGTTTTGGAAATATGTCATTTGATTGTGCAATGAAAAAAAAGGTGTATTGAAATATGACAGTGTACTGATCTGGTTATATTGAAGGAGATTTACATATGACAGTGTGTTGAAATATGACAGTGTAATGAAAAAAGGTATACTGAAGGAGATTTACATATGTTAGATAGCTTATGTAAATTGATAGTAGATTGTTACCTGAACTTCTTCCCATAATACAACTTTCAGATCATCACCAAGGTTCCTCCAATCATCAAGTGTTACAGGTACATGCTCTCGTACAAGAGGGCCCAAAAACGATGACAAGTGTACTGATCCGGGTCCATATGGTTCACCAGAATCAGTAAATTGAATCTGAATTCAGTTCGCAGGGTCCCTAGCAAGTTTTTTCTTTTTTGTTGGACCCCTTTTCTTTTTTATGCCTCTTGCAGCTTTAATTGTATCTTGTATTGGTGCATCTTCAGCTGTATCATCTTCTTGGACCATATCTTCTTTAGGAATTTGAATATTTAGAACTGGTCCATCTTGGGTAGCTTCTTGACTGACTTGCGTAAGGCCTTCCATGGCATTCACATCCCTCGCATCCAAGTCTTGTGACATTCCACCAGTTACCTTACTGTTCTTCCTTTTACGCTGACCTGTCTTTGTAGTCTCACTAACCATCCTCATTTATCTGTCTTAGAAAAAATAAAGGTAAGTATCTATATAGTTAAACCTGGTTTCATATGTGAAACAAAATATACATATATCAAAATCACAAATAAACACAATGACACATTTAAAGCATGAACTTACCTCTATTAACCAGTGTTTCTCTCTGCAATTCTGGAAATCCATACTGTTTCATTGCAATAGTAATTGTACTGCAAGTTCAGCTTTTCTGTAATTGTAACTACTGCAAGCAACTATTATTGTTACATGTAGTTTGTAGTGGCAGTTGTTTCGTGTAGTTATAGATGTTTCTTTTATGATATCAGGTTTTTTGGTGTTTCGATTGGGATTGGTTGAAATTGCATCATAGACCTCATATACATCTCAAAAAGGTTGCAGACACAACTTAATATAAACCAGACATGATCCTGGGCCTGCTCACCACTATTGGACCAAAATAACTCACCAAATCGTTTAACGTGATGTGTCTCAATTTTTTACAATTGCACCTATTAAGCATAAGTCTTGTAATATTTGCAAATATGTGGATGTCCTTCCTAGAAAATTGCTATCGCGACCCTTGTAATATTTGCAAATATGTGGATGTCCTTCCTATTTACAAAATATACATATATCAAAATCACAAATAAACACAATGACATATTTAAAGCATGAACTTACCTCTATTAACCAGTGTTTCTCTTTGCAATTCTGGAAATCCATACTGTTTCATTGCAATAGTAATTGTACTGCAAGTTTAGCTTTTCTGTAATTATAACTACTGCAAGCAACTATTATTGTTACATGTAGTTTGTAGTGGCAGTTGTTTCGTGTAGTTATAGATGTTTCTTTTATGGTATCAGGTTTTTTGGTGTTTCGATTGGGATTGTTTGAAATTGCATCATAGACCTCATATGCATCTCAAAAAGGTTGCAGACACAACTTAATATAAACCAGACATGATCCTGGGCCTGCTCACCACTATTGGACAAAAATAACTCACCAAATCGTTTAACGTGATGTGTCTCAATTTTTACAATTGCACCTATTAAGCATAAGTCTTGTAATATTTGCAAATATGTGGATGTCCTTCCTAGAAGCATAAGTCTTGTAATATTTGCAAATATGTGGATGTCCTTCCTAGAAAATTGCTATCGCGACCCTTGTAAACCAAAAGAGTTCATCTTGTATCCTAATAAATTGCTATCGCGACCCTTGTAAACCAAAAGAGTTCATCTTGTATCCTAATAGCATGAAAAAGACAAGTAAAAAATATAGCACATTGGCACTGCTTTCAGCTAAAAATAAGATCATGGCAGAGGGGATCAGCGCACTTGTTTCCAACACATGACACCCATCCTTAAGACAAGATAAATCATTATAAATTAGCAGTCAATAAGACAAGATAAATCAAACACTTTAAAGTATGATCAACAATCAACCTACTTACTAACTAGTTCTAATCACACAAGTAGTCCCTCACAGTCCACCCTGACATAACTCTCTGTCTCATAATCATCAAAATCCATTTTAATTTCTTGTGGCAAAAAAGATGCATCTGCATTCTCATCATCTGTCTCCAACTCATGGTAACCTCTTGGTGGTGCCTTCATTACTACATACCAATTAGACAAATCATCTTCTCTTGAATAAAAAACCTGTTTTGCTTGAGATGCTAGGATATATGGATCTCTTGCAAATGATACTTGACTCTGCTGTAAGTTTACAAGTGTGAATCCATCTTCTTCCTTAACACCATTTCCTTTATTGGCCCAATGACACTTAAACAATGGAACATAAAATAGATGGTAGTCTAGTAAAATGATATCTGTCAATATTCCATAATATGAAACCAGATCAGCCACTTGTGCAGTATCTTTTGCACTTGCTCTACACATGGTTATTGCATCATAAGTCACCCCACTGTTTTGTGTTTCCCTGTCAACATCCTTGGTGTGAAATCGTAGCCCATTGATAATGTATCCCGTACATGATAGTGCACTCTTTTTAGGACCGTATGCCAACCATCTTAATGTCTTTGAATGATCATTCGAGTCAATAGGAATCTACAAAATATTAATATAAGAGTTAAATGGTGTACCTCAGCTAAGTAATAAATACAAGAACAGGTTTGAGATGATTAATTATAAATAACCTTATTTTTTGTCCATTCTGCAATTTTCTCAGTATGCCGCTTCCAAAGTAAGGTCTGATTTTTTTCAAGCCGTTTGTCTTTTGCTTGCAACTCCTCCAAATGCATACTAAGCGAACACAAGAACACAAGACCATATGAATTATAAAATAAAACTAATAAATATAAAAGCAAACTATAAGTACATAAATAGCAATGTACTTACTCTAAAAATGGATCCATTATTGTTGTGTTCAGTAGTACTGAACAATGTGCAATATCTTTCTCTTTATCGATAAGTGTGATTGAAGTAGTCTTAGATATAGGACGACCTTCAAAAATGACATCATTTTCAAATTCTTCATTGCGAACTTCCTTTTCCTTCACATGTATTGACTGTTTCAGAAACTCGCTACAAAAGGCGATGCACTCTTCAGCTAGGTATGACTCTGCAATACACCTCTCAGGTCTTGCAGGATTTCGAACACATTTTTTTAGTGTCTTCATGTACCTGAATAAAAGAATTTAATCTTGTCCATGATCAAATTTTAATTGCATAATGGATTTCAGCATGAAAAAGAATAATTAAAAAAAATCTAACCTCTCAAAAGGATACATCCAACGAAAATGAACTGGACCACACAAGCGTGCCTCTCTTGCTAGATGAACCGGTAGATGTACCATGATATCAAAAAATGATGGCGAAAAAAAACGTTCCAGTTGACACAAAGTTTCAATGATCTCATTCTCAAGGTCCAGCAACTTTTCTCTATCAATAGCACGCTGGCATAATCTATTGAAAAATCTAGATAATCGAATTATCGCTTTTCTAGGCTCTTTCGGTAACAATCCTCTTATAGCAACAGCCAACAATTGCTGCATTAGGACATGATAATCATGAGATTTAAGCATCATAATCTTACAATCCTCCAATGTTATGCAGTTCCCGATATTTGAGCAATAACCATCAGGCCCTTTGAAGTCATATATCCTCTTGCAAAATCTTTTTTTTTTCAGACCTTGAAAATGTATGTGGTGCTGGTTGAAGGTACAATCTGCTTCCCCGCTGTTCTGGATGCAAATCTTTCCTAATTCCAATATCTTCCAAGTCCTTACGAGCATTTATCCCATCTTTTGATTTCCCACTATGCAACATAGTGCTTATTATGCTTTCACAAATGTTTTTCTCTATGTGCATCACATCTAAATTATAACGTAATAGAAGTTCCTGCAAATTAAAAATAGAGAAATACATTAAGCAATTATAAAGCTAAAACAAAATATATAAAAAATATGAAATAAAGGAAAAACAGAACACTAACCTTCTAGTACGGTAAAGAAAAAAAGATTGATCTTTTCTTCCACCTAGTAAGCTCATTCTGATTATCAATGTCACTTGTGTCATCTTCATCCTCATCATCATCACCACCATTCTCATTATTATTCTTTTTCCTTTTTTTGTCTCCACCTTTTCCAAAATCATTTGGAAAGTCATTTAGAATAGCAGAAATATTGTGACCTGTTAGGGCTCTGGGCTTGCTGCCATGCTCTACACTATTATCAAACCACGATTTCTTTCTTCGGTATGGATGAGAGGGTTTCAGAAATTTCCTGTGACCCATGTATGAAAACTTCTTGCTGAAGCGTAACCATCTATGATGTGTATTTTTCCCACATATAGGGCATGCTTTTCTTCCTTTTGTAGAACAACCAGCAAGATTTCCATATGCTGGAAAGTCATTTATAGTCCACATCAACATTGTCTTCAAATTGAAAATTGATTTGCTAAATGCATCATAAGCCTCAACCCCATTCTCCCACAACAATTGCAAATCATCTACAAGTGGTTGCAGATAAATATCTATGTCGTTTCCCGGCTGCTTTGGACCAGGAATCAACAATGTTAGCATAATATTCTCTTTCTTCATGCACAACATAGGAGGCAAATTATAATTTACAAGCATTACCGGCCAACAACTATATTTAGAGCTTAAGATGGAGAACGGGTTGAAACCATCAATAGCAAGTCCAAGTCTGAGATTGCGTGGATCAGCTGCAAATGAGGGCCATTTATCATTAACCAGGTCCCAAGCTAAAGAATCAACAGGGTGACGCATTTTCCCATTAGTGCTTTTGTTACCAAAATGCCATCTCAAATCTTTAGCCATTTGTGAAGACCGAAACATCCTTTTAAATCTAGGAATAATAGGAAAATATCTCAAAACCTTAACTAGAACACCTTTTCTGATTTCTTTAGTACGCTTATTTATCTTCCATCTTGAAGCACCACATGTTGGACAGTTGTCCAGATCCTCATACTTATTTCTAAAGAGACAGCAATCATTCACACAAGCGTGAATTTTTTCATACCCCATGTCAAATATCTTGAGGAAGCTTTTAATCGAGGCGGCTGAATCTAGCAAAACATTGTCCTTTGGCAACATACGTTTAATGATATCTAACAACTCATTGAAATGTTTACTTGATAATCCACTCTTGCCTTTGAGTCCATACAAATCTACAATGGCTGACAACTTTGTGTAACTTTCACAGCCTGTATACAAAGGAGTTTGTGTTTCTTCTAGTCTCCTTATGAACTCGTCACCATGCCCATGTTCAGTAGGTTCATTAATAGGTATAGGCTGGACAAGTTCTTCATCCAAAAAGTAGGCAGCTTGGAATAAGTTATATGTCTCGTCCGTAATGGCTTCATAATCAAGCTTCTCAGCACTTTCTTGTTTCTCTCCATGCTTATTCCAATGTGATTTCATTCGGTACGAAAGATCCATCCCCTTTGTAACCAAGTGTTCAAAAATAGTACTTCCATCTTGATGGCTCATATTACGACATTCCGTGCAAGGGCAGAACATCCTTGTAGGAAATCCTAAATTCTTTTCAGCTGTTTTTACAAATTGTAATGCTTTTTGCTAGTACTCGAGGGTGGATCTATGATTTTCAAAGAAAGAGAGCAAGAACAAAATACATTCCAGATCTAGTTAAATTACTACATTTTACAAGTATTGGTGAACCAATAGATTAAGATATGATTCTTACCCGTGGAGCCACACCCACTCTTTTTCCATCATCTTTTCAATGAAGATTTATGAAAGCAATGTCTAAAATATGAAAACAAAAATAAACTAATTCTAATTGATTAATAGAAACCAGCAATTATATAATTCATCAATGAGTAAAATACACAATAACTAAGAAATTGAACTAAAAAAATTGAAAAACCAACAATTATATAATTCTTCAAGTTATTGATCTTCACCTCAGTCTCCTCGTCAAGCCTCTTCAGATTGCTCCCTGAGCTCCCAGTGCTCTGCATCATAAATAAACCACATATTCATCACAACTAATCTCACAAAATAACTACCCAAAAAAAATCAAAAATCAAAAGAAAAGGGTTTTAGACATCGGTTCTCTTAAACCTTTTAGATTCTCAAATTAACCCCTCGAATCTTCAAAATTGTTACTTACTGCATGGTATTGATTGGGATCGGGTATTGTTTGGGGAGAAGGAGAAGTGAGGGTTTCGGCGGTGGAGGAGAGACGAGGAGGGACTCCGTCTCCGGTGATCAAAGAAGGGGGGGTCGGGTTTGGAGACGGCAGCGGCGGAGAGATGCTGCGATAGCGAATCCGGAGCGGCACTGGCGACAAGTCAGAGTCGGAGGCGGCAGCGACGAGTCGGAGGTGGCAGCGGCGACTCGGAGGAGGCAATCGGAGTTGGTGACGAGAACAAAATTGCAATCAAAATCGGAGTTGGAGAGGGTTGTTTATAATTTTTAGGGCTTGGGTGAGAGAAAGGAACGGAAACGAAAAGCCCTTATTTGTGGGGTTTTCAGAAAAAGAAACGGAAACCAAAAAAATTAGGATCATATACTTATGCGCCTATTTTAATTTTCAACTCTTTTAATTTTCGTCTCATGCTTAAGTTTTCAACGCGCCAGAACAAAAAAAAATTTAAGATCAAGTACTTATAGCGTTTAAAAATTTTCAAACGCTATCAAAAAATAAGGCACATACAATCTATAGCACTTACAACATAAACGCTATCATTCAATGCTATAAAAAACCAGTTTTGTTGTAGTGCATGGTTGTAGAGACTACTCAAGATGGGATATTTATGATACTAAAAATATGAGGATTAATTTACAGTCTTTTAATGGGAAACTCAACGTAGAGGATTTTCTTGATTGGATTGATGAGGTAGAGAGATTTTTTGGGTACTTAAAAATCATAGGAGATCAGGAAGTTAAGCGAGTAAACTACCAACTAAAGGGCAAAGTAGCTTTTTGGTGGCAAACATTATGTGTGGATCAAGCCCTCAGCAGAAGCGAAAAATTCAATCATGGTGAAGATGAAGGAATTGCTTTAAAGCTCATTTTTTTTCCTAATGTTGATGGTGATATGTCAGTGAAGATGGATATTATGCATGAAGTTCCTGAAGCTAATGTGAGTAATATTATAATGTCATTGCAATGAAGGAGAAAGGGTAGAATTAAGAACGAAGTTATTGATGTTATGTGTAACTTGCTTAGTGTAGGACCCAGAAGAAAGGAGATGGAGTGTGGAAGAAATTCTTCTCTTGAAATAAAGAATGATAATAATTTTAACAAAATTGAGATAAAACTTCAAGCACAAGAATATGAAAAGCAACAAAGAAATGATTTGGAGGAGTTTTTCAAGTCATCGGTGAATTCATATGATATTAGTCACATAAATATAATATAAAAAATATTCATTCAAATGTTTGATTCAGAAGAAGTTTTAGCCGAGAAGGTAAAATAACAGATGGGGAAAATCAATCCTAAGTACAAGATGGATGTTGATTGATGCAGGATAAGAAACATGGTTATCAATGAAGCTACTATTCAAGCAAATATAAACATGAGGCCGAGCTTTTTTCAACAAGGAGAGACTGATATAGAACAATTAACAGACAATTTCATGGAGGAGTGGTGTTGATGTCTGATATCAACAGTCGATGAGTGCATTCCGCGGATGGGTGCAGGTCGGATCTTCACGCTGATGACGAAGAGGGAGAGGATGGGAGATGGGGCCGACTCCTCCTCCGATTTTATGCCTGATCTTTGGACTAGAATTCCTGATTCTTCTACATAAACATGAAATGACCTGCACACGTAAGAATCTTGAGAGGGCGGGGCTTGTTTCCCCTGTGGTACCTCTGACGGTCAAGTCTGTTGGTGAACTTAAGTGGGGTGAAAGAAGAACGATGTATTCTTCCTCATGCAATATGTGCTTTTAATCCAGAAGAGGATGCTTGCGGGGTGATGAAGGGGATCTCTTCCTTTCTCGACTTTATATCTGGTCACTGATTTTGAGTTTGCGATCTGCACAAAAGAAGTCGTGAGAGGATGGGGCTTATTTCCCCCGTGGTACCTCCGACGATCAAGTCAGTTGATGAATTTGAGCTTGAGTGGAGTAATAGAACTGTGTTCTTATGCTATGTACATTAGAGACGATCATCTCTCAGATTTAGATCAGGAGGAAAGTTTAGATTGTGAACCTGCCAACTTGCGAACCCTCTTTTTTATGTCGAATAGCATCTGTATTTATAGAGGATGCCAATGGAAGATTGGTCACTTTATGAGTGTACTGTAAGATGATGGTGAGGGGTGAGCTGGAGGTTGAGTCACCCTTTGTTCTATACGTGTCAGTTTATGAGTGACGGGAGGTCACTTCAACGACATTGGGAGTCAACAGCCGACAAGTCTTGTCGGTTTGTAAGTGACGGGAGGTCACTTCAACGATATTGGGAGTCAGCAGCCGACAAGTCTTGTAGGTTTGTGAGTGACGGGAGATCACCTTAGCGATATTAGGAGCCAGCAACCGACGAGTCTTCAAATGACTGAGGACAAAGACATAATGATGATCATCAAAGATTAAATAATGTTGAGAAATAATATTCCGGGTCGTCCTCGGGAGGAGTGTCGGCTAACGTTGAGTAGCGATCTTTTGATATGAAGAGGGTCGACTAAGTCCGCCTCTCGAGTCGACTTTGAGGAATGATTCTGACTCGACTGAGGGAGTGACGGCTCGGCTGCCCTTCAGGTGTTGACACCGAGGAGTGTTGAATCTCTGGGATACTGATTTTCATACCGACTAACACTACCTTCCGAGTCGGCAGATCGTGTCTGCTTGTCTGGTTGGTCGAGATATCGACTCATCTGATCATACATTTGGAAACAGTTGTATCTCATAACAGTTGGCCCCTTTTACTTGGAGTTGGCTTTAGCCGAGTCCAAGTAAAATGAATAAAGCTCTGGACTAAAGTTAGGGCTGCTGATTGCTTTGTAGCATTGCTCTGATTGAGCGAACCAAGTGGCAATTCTTGAGTTAGCTGTGTTGTGTCGACCCAAATGTTATGAGTCGTCTTGACAACTGGCTCATACTGCGCCTACTATGGGCAAGATGCTCAGGCCTTGGTCGATGAAGACTGGCAAGTCGAAGTGCTTTGAGTCTTTTTGTCGAAGATGACCGGACAATTGTACTCCATGCCTTAGGTTTACTCATGATGATACTAAGGTCTTAATGGCAGGATGATAACTCTGAGGTTGGGCTTCATGCTAGACCTAAGTCTTCATAATCCTCTTATGGCCGAGAGACGACTGTGGGAGTCGGCCATAGAGTTGTGCCTTGGGCTTATCCTGAAAAGGAGTCAAGGACTTTAAAATCCGACTGAGGAGTCGAATGCCTAGAACTACGAAGAAAGTTGACTAAGGCTTCCCCTATGGCCGAGAAACGACTATAAGAGTCGGCCATAGGGTTGTACCTTAGGCTTATCTTGATGAGAAGCCAAGGGCTTGATTATCGACTGAGAAGTCATTGTACCTTGGGCTTATCCTGATGAGGAGCCAAGGTCTTGATTACCGACCGAGGAGTCATTGTGCCTTAGACTTATCCTAATAAGGAGCCAAGGGCTTGGTCATCGACTGAGAAGTCATTGTGCCTTTAGGCTTATCCTGATGAGGAGCCAAGGTCTTCGTGACCGACTGAGAAGTCATTGTGCTTTGGGCTTATCCTAATGAGAAGCTAAGGTCTGTATGACTGACTGAGAAGTCATTATGCCTTGGGCTTATTCTGATGAGGAGCCAAGGTCTTTGAGTCCGACTGAGAAGTCGTTGTGCCTTGGGCTTATCCTGATGAGGAGCCAAGGTCTTGACCATGATGGTCGATGAGAGCATACAGAATCGAACCATATGTTATGCCTTGGGCTTACCTTTAAGAAGAGCCAAGGGCTTTGTGTTGACTGAGGAGTCATTGTGCCTTGAGCTTATCCTGATGAGGAGCTAAGATCTTGATCATGATGGTCGATGGGAGCAGACAGAATTGAACCATATGTTGTGCCTTGGGCTTACCTTTAAGAAGAGCCAATGACTTTGTGCTGACTGAGGAGTCATTGTGCCTTGGGCTTATCTTAATGAGGAGACAAGGTCTTTGTATTCGACTGAGGAGTCATTATGCCTTGGGCTTATCCTGATGAGGAGCCAAGGTCTTTGTGTCTGACTGAGGAGTCGTTATGCCTTGGGCTTATCCTGATGAGGAGCCAAGGTCTTTGTATCCGACTTAGGAGTCGTTATGCATTGGGCTTATCCTGATAAGGAGCTAAGGTCTTGATCATGATGGTCGATGAGAGCAGACGGAATTGAATCATATATTTTTCCTTGGGATTACCTTTAAGAAGAGCCAAGGGCTTTGTGCCGACTAAGGAGTCGTTGTGCCTTGGGCTTATCCTAATGAGGAGCCAAGGTCTTTGTATCTGACTGAGGAGTCATTGTGCCTTGGACTTATCCTGATGAGGAGCCAAGGTCTT